TTTTTTTTTTTGGGCCAAAGGTTGTGTTGGAAATGGTAAGAATTATCACAGATTAAAAATGCACTGTTTCTTTCTTTGAATCAAACTGTCACTGGATCATTTTACCTTTGCTTTGCATCACTTAACTCACTGATCCAGTAGATATTCCCCCCTCCCCCGGCAGCATTGAATAAACCAAGACATTAACAGATCAACAGGGGAAAAAAAAGAAAAAAAAAAAGTCATTGTAAAGTCATTTGATGCATTAAATGCAGCCCTATGCAAACACAGGACAAAGCAATCATAGTTTATGTGGAAATGTAATTAGTGGACAGTTTCTTCAAACAGCACCACGAGACAAGAGAGAGAAAACTGCTGCTGGTTAAAGGAAAAGCAGACAATCATTCAATTGTTTTCATTCAGCATAAATCACAGCAATGCACTTCCCTCCCTCCAAGCATCTCAAGTTGAGCCCGGCCACACGACCCCAGCAAGGTCGTAATTTGCACTTCTGAATACTTTTCAGTGGGGAAACACTGAGCACTGATAAAAAGGTATGTGGTCATAAACTGACATCAGAGCAGTGTTTGATCAGTCAAGGTTGGCTGACACTCAACTTCGCAGACACTGGCTCATGTTTAACTATAAACACAGCAGTGCTATCATTCTGTGACATGACCATGGCGATCATCATATCCAGTTTAGGCTCACTGAGGTAGAATCTTTTTTTTTTTTTGTTTTTTTTGTTTTACAGGTTAATGGTTAACTGAAATACTCCAGTACCTTCACTCCAGCTGCATTTGTTAACACCAACATCCAAGTTTAAGTGAAAATACTCATTTAGATCAATTAACTGTATTTTGTCATTAGTTAATGGTTAACATGGTGGAAAGGAAATCACGCTTTTACATTAAAATGCAACTTGTCCGTCTCTTACCAATTAACACTGTCGACTACGCTTTATTAGAATTCACGCAGCATATTCGTTCAAATAAAATGACATAAAAAGGACCATCAGTGAAACAAAACAACCCCAATACCACATTCATACAAAGTTTCTGTAAGGCATTCCTTCACGAGGTCACTCGTACCAGCAGAGTCTGCAGCTTCTTCGTCCCAAACTTCAGCTCCTCATTCTGACGTTTGCCAGCAAAAGAAAAGTGTTCGATTTAGCCACAATCACAGTTTCTCTGCCAGAGTGTTCCCAGCTTCTCCTGCTCAGTCTTTAACACGGCTCTGGCAATGGCTTTGGTCTGTCCTGCAGCTAAGATTAGAAACTATACATACAAGAAGAGCCACAACTCTGAAAAAGTCTTTAGATTCATGCACGAGACTGTACAGACTTTAGGTGAACTGTCTCAGCTAGACAGGACAGGAGGTTGAGTTGCAGTCCTATCTGCAGGAGGAGCCCAGCACGCTGCCCGTCGAGGGTGTGGTGGGTGTAGCGCTGTAATGGGGGTAGTTGTCGTTTGATGAGGGGCTCGGGAGGATGGAGTTTCCATTGGTGGGAGAGCAGCTGAGCTGGAGCCTCCGCAGGTACTCGGCGTGAACGGGTTTGTGGCTCTGCAGCACTTTGATGGCTTCTTCCACGGTGAACCACTCCCGCTTACGACCTGCAGAGGGAGACAGAGAACTGAAGATCAGCTTTTCTTAATCACCAGCAAAGTGCACTGTCACACAAACTGTAACTTTTGTGCAGAACAAGCCACGTAACCCCTTCTTTCCCTTTTCCACAAGCTGATTTGACTTCATATCAAAAGACAAAGTGGACTGTGAGCTTTAATAGCTTCTGCAGGTTACCCCATTTTCACTTGTTAGAAGAAAAAAATAAATAAAAAACAGAGGCACTGGATTGAAACATTTCACAGAATGTCACAATGAGGCAAACAACTTGCATACTTAATAAGATGCATTAAAGTAGGGTGAAGATACAGTATCCATCTATATCTATAGTATCTTGAAACTCAAATATATATATACCTGAAAACCTTCAAATATGCATGTACAGACCAAACTGACTTATGCTATAAAGGTTTTCAGAGTTCAAAGCAAGAACAGAGGGGATACATTAGGCTTTGGATTACACAGACTGGATACTGACGTCCGCCGCACTGACAGCTGTAATATACTGCAGCTAAGTACCACTGCAGTAATGATCAGTGGCCTAGATTTATAGGCACCTGTTGTAACTGCCAGTGTGGTTTCTGTGCAGTACTCTAGTCTTCACATAAATAAAAAATACAGAGTATGGTGTAAGCAGCAGCACTCAAAACCGCAAGTATTGATGCTTAAGGGAAGCAAAACTTTACCTATGTTGACAGAGTCTTCCCAGTCCTCGAGGGTTTCCGTCACAGTCAACACGTACACGTACGTTCGGTGCTTACGATCTTGGTTTTGCTTTAAGGATCAGAGACAGATGTATATTTAATTACAATGCAGCGATGCAATAAATCATGCAATTCACACCTACATTTATTTGCCAATTTTAAAGTAAAAAAAAATTGCAGATTTTATACAATTTGCACATTTTGTCCTGTCCTGTGAAAAGCTTACCTCAAATACACCAAGCAAGCGTCCTAGTTTGCCCTTCACACCGGCCTGAGGAAAAGATAAAGGAGAAAAGAAAATCATTCATTTCTACTGGCTGTAGTGTTTGGGGAGCACAGAGTATACTTCTTTGTTGGAAGGCTCAAGTAGCTATGGCCTCTGTAGAAGATCAGTCACAGAGATGAATAGAAAGTGAAAACAACAGAAAAGCAGCGTTCTGCATCAACACAGTGGGAACTGTGTCGCGTTTCAACATTCAGGACAGTCCAACAGATAACTGCCCACAAATAAAGAATACATATATCAGGACTGAACAAATTAAACCCCTATGACAGTTTTCGCAGAAACTAGTAGCAAAGCTACGAGCTACAGAGTTAAAGGTCGACATATAACATCAATATAAAAGATTTCACTGTCATTTATACTGTACTGGGTCATCACCTGGGTAAGAATACAATAATAATAAAAAGAAACTTGCTTGAATTCTGCAGATTGTTATTACAGTAATATGAGAGATTCCCTTTCATAACAGTCATTTTATTTATTCAGATGTACTGTGTTCTGTTCACAGGCCTCAAATTACTGTTAAGACATATGTCATCTTCTCAAGTGTCAGTCTGCCCCACTGATGTGTCCAGAAGGAAAGGCTACAGGGTTTGTGAATGCACAGGAATCCAGTGAAGGGCCAAGTTTAGACCACTGACGTTGCTGAGAACACAAGGTTCTCAACCAGGGGGAACTCTGAAATACCATCAGGCTCCTCACTCACCCAGCTGCCGACACTGTACCCCTTCAAAAACCTCTCACCCTTACCTATAGACTTCAAACCTATTTCACTTTATAGACTTCAAACTTGACTTGTATACCGTAACATTAAAACAAAGTCAGGGCACAGATTTATTTACCTCCTCAAACACTTCTCGCACTGCTGCGCCACATGGCTCCTCCTCTGGCTCCATCCCTCCTCCGGGGACGATCCACTGGTCTGGATGCCGACTGCTGCTGACCAGCAGAACCTGTCAAAGAAAAAGAAAAACTTTAGGAAATGCAGACTGAGTTATTATTTTTACCTTAAACTCCAATAAACCAAAGGAGTTAAAGCACGCAGGAGCATACAGAGTTTCAGTGGCCTATATTGCAACTTGAGGACATGAATCATGACCCTTGGGACTCAAAACATCATAAAAAAAATATGACTGATGGTTGGAGTTGGCTTAGCGTCGCTCACAAGATGCCAAAGACAGGATTACACTCACTCGCAGAACTGAACGCAGACAGCTGTGGACTGTAGGGAGACACAGGTGGTCTTATTTCACTGCTTTCTGATCTCTTTAAGAGGATCCATGCACATTTAATGCTCTTAGTGGAGTGACTCCATGCTCCGTGGTGCATGCTTTTTTCTTACGAATGAGAAACACCAGATTCAAGACCACAAGACAACACAAACCAAGGCTCGGGAGCTACAAGCTAGTTCATAGATGGGATGATTGCTTTGTACCAAATTAATCAATCCAGTGTGGACTGATCCATTGTGGCCACCATTTAAATAAGGGACCAAGTGAAAGTACTTTCAGTGTAGTCCATATCCCCTTGACTTTATACAAAAGGGGTTTTTTTGTCACGCAGACAAATTGAGTTGCATAAAGATGCTACACACATTTAGATAAATATATATTTCTTTGAGCAAATAATCCAGTTTTTACTCCTTTATTTACTCTTTTTTTTCCCCCCCACCACTTCATGTGGATGCCCATTCTTGAAAATACTCAACCCTAATTAATACCAGTGTCCATGTGGTCCCGACACAACATGAACTCAGCGGACAATGCTTGTAAACTCAGCTGGGGGCCCCTAAAATTCTGCCAGTGCTCCCGAGCGCCCCGCTGGGGTTTGAATTACACGACAGTTGCAGTGTCCACTGATACGTACAGATCAGATGTGCCTGTGTGTGCGGTTTGCGGCAGTATCCACATAGCAATCGAAAGAAACACGAAAACAGCTGCTATGAACATTATCGCGTTTAGCATGAAGCTGTGTCACCATCATTAACACATACAGCCAACAAGTGTGTTTAAAAAAAATAAACAAAGCAGGATTCTGTCACAGTCTGATGGTTCATTTAAGCGTGATTCTAGTACATTTTAGCATTTTTCCTTTTTCTGTCATAATCCAGCATCGACAAACAAGCCGGGGCGCCGGTCAGGGCAAAGGGGCCACACAGTGAACGTCCATGAATTAGTGTGAGAAATCTGTGAGCATGTGCATGTGCAACAGATGGTGAACAACGCAACCTAACTGACTTCATATGCAGTAATCTGTGAGAGAAGTCAGCCTGTCGCTTAATCCCACCTCAGCTTTCGTATGGCTTCCCTTACGTTCTCTAATGGGATTGTGGCCGCGGCTACACGAGGCTTTCTGAGGCTCTTCTAAATTGCCTGGGCTGAAGACCAGACTGTCTGACTGATACGGCACATGACTGGAGCCCTATCTATCAGTTGCCAGCTGGTGTCTTGCTCACATGCCTGACTCAACCACCTGCTTATTCCCGGATTGCAGGTTAGGGTGGGGGTGATGGGGAACCGATGTTAAGTGCATGCGTGCAAAGATTTCCCTAGTGATGAAAATGTTAAGAAGAAGCATCACACAACAGATGTTTATGTTATGTGACAGGTGTACAGCTTACATAATGGACTGTAAATGACGCGTTAAAAGAAGAGGTATTTACACAAATAGTACAAGCAGCACTGGTGCAGGGCATGCCGTTCTCTCAGGAGGGTGCAAACTATAAGAAATGTGCAAAGCTGAACCTGGTAACCTGCCTCGGTAAGCTCCCTCAACAACAGGAGGGCTTTTGCCAGTGAGATCTTTTATTTTGTTTGTCAGTGTGCAGCAGTGATTTTATTTGTCCTCCTTTACAAATGTGAATGTCACCTGCCAGAAATCATTACTGTGCCAAGAGGTTCCACGCAGGCTCACCGACTTGGCGACTTCACGGGTGTGCCAAATGGTCCTCACGTCTTAACAGTGCGTGTGTGCTGAACTGCAGCCGGCGAGGATTAAGGGGAGATCGCTAAGCAGTGAGTGCGCGATGTATACAAAACACGGTGTTTCCGGGGCAGCAACAACGAAGCTCATTTTAGCGTTTAGTTGTAGTTGTTGAAGAGGAAATATTATTCATCCACCCTAAGAAAAGAGGGGTTGGGTCAATTTTGGAATGTAGAGACTGGAATCTACATTTTACAAACCATCTTTAATTAAAGAGGTTTGCTTCTTCACACTGCTCCATATTTCATACAGAAGTGCAGCAGTAGGGCACAATTTCACCTGTCCAATGCCAAATATGGACCTGCAACCTCTTTAGGCCATTCACCTACATTCAAGAATTTAGAGAATTTCCCAAACACAAGTCCTTTTGATCACAATAAAAAGAAACCATGACATGTTGTAAAAGAACTGCCAAAATATGTCCATTTCCTTTATATAATTATCATTATTACACTTTTATTTGAACCGTTTGTTCATTTATTTTCAGTAACTTGAACAGTCACGTGAACTGGTATTCCCGTTATCAACTAAAAATAATAATAATAATAATTATAGTATAGATTAACTAAGCTCCGCCTTCTGAGCTGTATAGCAACCCACCGAACAAAAAGATCAGTTAGTTAAAAAACAGCACACAAGCTACAATTTAAAGAGGCCAAAAACCCCAAAACAAAATAACTCACACCTGGATGGCAGGTCAACAGTCAGCTGATGGTGAACTCTGAGCACTGAAAACCCACTTATGTTCAGAAAGAAGGTCGGGCTAGAGGAGAGGCCTCTGGGCAGAGTTATTACAGTTCCTCCAATTTGATTTTTTGTAATTATAAAAAAATAACAAGCAAAACTAGACCGATTTTTCCAGGGTTAAGAAGTCAAAAACAGGCAGGGTATTTTAAGCCATCAAATGACTATATAAATAAACTTTACTTACTTAAAATGGGTCTTTAGGGGCAGAATAAGCACGTAACCAAGATTGGTCAACATACAGTTCAAGCAGGGAGTCTTTCTTACCTTAGTTAACAGAAGCTGTTATTTTGCATAACATAAAAAACTGGAAGACTAAGACTGAAAACATTTCCTTCATGTTTGTATTTTATTATAGTTTTTTCCACCAATATGTATTTTTACTAACCTTTCCTTACACTGTTTACATTATTTGGTTTACATATATGTTTACTCTCTAGCCATAAAAAAAGAAGAGAAAAATTGCCTTGGGGGAGGGACAGTTTACTGCTTTTTTCCTCCTTTGACAACGTAAGAAATCATAAAAGCATATTCCAAGTTTTAATTCTTTTATAGGAGAAGGAAGATTGACAAACCTCCCTAAAGGTGGCAGGGCAACATTATTGATAATTGATGTACCACATGCATGTTAGTATCAAAAAGAAAGTATTGTTTGGTAAATATATGCCAATGGTGACACTACAAACAACAACTACAAAACCCTTGTGAAACCTTACAGTGTAATCTGGCGTGCATCTACCTGGAAATGTAAATAAATGAAAATGGAACAAATGGAACTATTGTGACTGGCCTGTTCGAGCCTATACATTTCCATTTGCTTTTTCGCCACAGTCTTTGATCAATGAGACAAGATTTTCCGCCCTAACATGAGGAATAATAATCAAGCTTCGATAGAAGGACTCACATATGAGGGACATCGCCAAACCAAAATCACTGAAATGGATGTGAGAGAATTTACAAAGAGGCAAAACATGAGGGACAAATACGTTAGGGAAGGGGGGGAAGGAAAAGTCCTAGGATTTTATTTGTTTCTATCGTGGCTGGCATCACATATAAAACAGTGGGATATGACCACAAGGTAATTAACGCCATGCACAAGCATGAATGGTTACATAGCTTATGACATAACCCCTACAAAGATTCACCACAGAAATCCAAATCAGCCATAAGACATGAACTGTTTGGGCACTTTGTAACTTTTTGCATGGTGGATGCAAATTTAGCAGCAACTTGCTCAGAGTTTTTACCATGTACATATAACACTGCATGTTTACCAGTGGCATACCACTTAGTGTTCCACCAGTGTGAAAAAGGAAACAGGGTGTGTGTCTATAAGCCTCCTCTGGATAGCGAAATACAAAATGAAATACACATGAGTCATCTTTAAAGACTTCAATGTCTTTAAAGTCACTGATTACACAACCTCTCTGAACACTAGTTAACTTCATGAATAGGCAAAAGATTTTCAGAACCACTATTAGTTAAAAACAGAGTCTGTCTTCTGGCATGGCCTCAAAACGGAGACAGCAGGGAGGAATATTCTGGAGGACATAAACACCTCCTCCCCATGGGGAACTGCCTGTAGCTGTCAAATAAAGAAGGCTCCACATGCCAGGCAGGCAACCGGAGGACAGAATGATGTAAAGTCACAGACACCAAAGAAGAGGAGCGCAGGAGACATGATTGATGGTGCTGAGACATTAATATAGTGGCTGCATTATACGACAACTAATTAGAGTCATAAACAAGCAACTTCGGAGGAAAACGGCACAAAATGCAAATGCAGAGAACACATGCAACTTCATTCTTGATGTTAAGACGTAGTGTCTTCTCACACTGGTAACCAGCCACCACCATTTCCATGATGACAGCATTTGTTACTTGCTGGGATACTTTCAATATCAAACCATGGGGTACAATCTGAGAAACAGAGGTTACTGCTAAAACTGTTAAATTCACTGTGTTAAAAGCCTCTGACGGCAACTGCTAGATTTGACATGGGGGTGGTGGCTTTCAAGAATACCATGTGACATCATCACCTTATAAAACTGCTTTGCATTTATATGGAATCATAGTTTGTGACACTCAGGTGAATGCAAGAATATATTCTTCAGTCTAAAGCGTTGATACTACTCCATTGCGCACACCTTTGAGTAGCTGTAGCTAGGGCTGAACGATTATGGAAAATAATCTAATTGCGATTTTTTGCCCCAATATTGCGATTGCGATGCGATATGCGATTATTTTTTAAGGTCTTTGTCTTCTGTATTATTAAACAAAGACAAGCAATACATCATATAGTATGGCCAATACTATATTACATTAATTTTAAACTGTTCTTTCCTGGAAGACAGACCTCTGTTATGATGACATGAGGTGATGCATGAATTGATGACTGACATTTTTATTTAACTTCTTCAATCACAACAGTATATTTGAACATACACAATAGTTTATTTTTAGCTTACAAACATCTGAGCATAAAGTGCTGACAAGGAACCCTGGTGTAAACATTAAAATGAAAGTCAGTACAATGTGCAGATTGCAGAAATATACATAAAAAAAATCAGTGGCTTTACCACACTAGCCTTAACTAACTAGCCGTAACTAGCCTTCTGATTAGCTAATCAGAAGGCTAGTTCTGATTAGCGTCACCGCTGTCTCGGTGGAGTTTAATAAACTCGGCCGTCTGCTTCTTGCTATCTAAAATATAACCAGACACTGGTGTAAATTCTCGACTGTCTCATACTTCTGTTTAATAAGTTTTCTGTTTGACGTTTAGTCAGCTGTGTGAAAACCAAGGAGGAACCCACCCGGGGGATTAATAAAGTTTTATTTTATCTAATCTAATAACTTTAATCTCAGCCAAACCGATTTACTCACGAACAAACAAAACACTGAAAAAAGCCCAACAATAACATTTTTAGGTTGTCTAAGTGACTTATATATTACGTTTAACCCGAGCAGCGAAACTCCGCGGTGATCTGAAAATGATGTGCCGGGAGTTGTGCCGTTCTCGGCCGCATCAGTAACCCTCGAGCTCCCGGCTAGCTGTCGAGCTGGTGGGTAGCAGACGCCTCTGAAAACGTCGAAGCACTTTTGCAAATATGGGATATCTTGATAAACCGAGCAGATATTTGATGTTTACACAACTACTTTCTCGCCTGAAAATATGTTAAAAGTTTATTTTGTGACCCAGAAAGATTAGTATGAGTAATTTTAAAACTTAGTAGCGGCCGCCATTGCTGGAAACTGGAGTTTGGCTGGGCCGCGCTATGAATTCTGGGATATGGTAGTAATTTGGACAGCCTTCGGCGCGTCGCTGTGACGTAATCGGTCTACAAATGCGGCCTCAGGAGGATGCAGCCCATGAATTTGGACATGTCCAGAGTATAATCGCAGCCTTTGCGGTTAGAAAATTGCACTTGATCATGTCGCGATATTATTGCAAATGCGATATATCGTTCAGCCCTAGCTGTAGCTCAGGGCCAAACAGCCAAGTAGTTATTCCTGTTATAGTTCTGAGATGTTAGCTTAAACTTCACCACCTGGGGCGCACTGTAATGTAAATTCTCTGCGAACAAGTCAGGTCATGGAGAACCCCCAAAACTGACCGAAGAGACCCTGGTGCTAACCATGAGATAATGGTAGGTCACTGGAACCCAAGAACTGAATCCTGGCTTAGACAAAAGGGTCGACAGAGCAGGTAGCTCCCCTTGTTTGATTCGCCACCAGTTTTACTTCCCGACACAACCCCTGAAGAGATTTTTGTCTGCATCTGGAAACGAACAAGTGACCCTTTGCTCACCGAGTGAATGTGTTAAACACTAAACCACTGGAAGCACATTAAGAAGGTAGACAACTAAATTAGCAAATCTGAGCAACTGTAGCTCTAGTAGTTGAAGATTTTATGGCCCAGCTAGAAAGTATTGTACAGGCCTTTCTGTTAGACCAACAGCGGCAGACAAAAGGCTGAAGAAGGAGGGAGGACCAAAGCAAAGCAAAACAATGAAAATTTCAGGCTGGAAAGCCAAAATGAACTGAAGGTGACTGTAAAATAGCCATATTGCAGCTTTGAGGCAGCACGGACATTACATAATTCAGTGAGCACACAATTTGATTGAATTATACCAAGCGACGACCACTGGGGAAAATAGTGCTGAAATCCTTTTACTATGATGCATCACATTAACCACATATGTTAGCACACTAACATATGTGGCTTTCCTATTACTGACATGTTTAGACTTAAAGTAGACACACATAAAAACACTGGCTCTTTTTGCTTAATTATTCGTTGTGACAACTTAGCACTGTGGTGATGAAATGTAATTCCACCAGCTCAACCAACTTGTCTGTCTCTTTGAATTGTCAGCTTCCCATTTTTCACGGTTCGAAGTTAAACTATTGCTATCACAGAGTCTCTGGCCTTATGGGCCCTGCTTTCTCCTTTCCCTTCCAAAACAAAAACAGCTGAGCAGATCTAGAGCTCCTGTTCCACCAGAGTTAGGTATCCAATGTCTACATGTCTATTTCTAGTGTATATGTGTTACTACAAAGCTTACACTACATGTGAATCGTCTTCAAAAATCACCATTAGTGCCAACCCAGTTACAGTAAGAGCATCACATCAGTTCTCTTACTTAAAGCTGAGTCATGTTTGTGGTTGCAAACCCAGACATGCTTGTTAAAGTCCTGAGGGTAGTAGTCACCTACATCCTTCTGTTGTCACAATATTACAGTACACTAATGCAAGTAAAAATGGCCAAACCAAAACAATTCTAAAGAAAGCAAAACTGCATCTCTGCACAGTATCTCTATTTCTTTTATGGCTACGCATTAAAAAAAAAAAATCTTACATAACAACAGCATACCACGTCCACATGTGCAAACAAGCAGATATACTGTTTGCATGCTTGTAAAATTCCTGATATGGTGTGTTTAACAGTCAAACACTGGAGAGCCTAGGCAGAGCTCTTAGTGGCTGTCTAGTGACAGCAGACAGTGATGTCTTTACTGCACATTGTGTAACACTTTGTTTATGCCAGGCCAAAAAACGGCTAAATATAGTCAAGCCAGAATATGCAGGGGAAAGCCTTGACTTTTGTCACTTACTGGTGAAACATTCATGCACGTAAACCAGTTAACCAGACCAGTTAGCAGACAGAGACATTATATAAGGTCCATTTTTACAGCTTTTGATAATTAGGGGGGGGGGTTGAAGTTACAAAAAAATATTGCAAAAAAGGGGGAGGAAACAGTCACCCCACAAAATAAAAAAATAAAATAGAAAGCTATGGTAGTTTAAAATCTGGCGGACGTCTCACTAAAGCCCTGCTTTAGGTTACCTTAAATCTCCTTTGAGGTGGGTCTAAAGCACTGCCCATCAGAGCCTGTCACATCCATTCATTATTTACATGTGATGGTCCCTTTAAATCCTAATCAACAGTATTGCTACGCAGCAGCCCGCCCAAGGCCGGCGGGATGCAGCATAACCGTGGCTGCTCGGTCATGGACGTTTACATTATTGTCATATTAAAATGACCTTACATCTGATAAATATATTTAGCAGTAGACCTGTGGCATATATTGTTACCCCCCACTCAGCCCACGCCACTGTTAAACCCTCTACTAAAGGAAACGTACAAGTGAGCGCCTCGCCCCCCTTCTGCTCGTTGCTTCAAGCTAGCGAAAAGCTAACAGGAAGTTACTTTCAAAATAAGAGCCCCGCCTTACTTGAGAGGGCAGTTTCACATTGCGCTGCTGCCCGTGTGTTTTATTTTGAAACAAACGTACTATTAGTCGTATGATGCTAGGTGAAGGCAGCTCGACAGCACCGCTTTTCCCCCCTTTTCTCTACGTGCTCCTCAAACTAGCCTAAACTGGATGGCCCAAGGCACATCAGCAGCACGCAAACACAAACCAAAAAGACAGCGGCTTTGCCAGCAAACACGTAACTACACCTAGTAGGCAACACCATAAATCAAAGCCCGTGTGTCTTATTACGGATCGTTGTGCGTTTTGAAAACGAGCATCCCTGAGCACTTTGAATGGCTGCTAGATGCAGATTGATTAGGCCACAAAGTCACAGCACACAAACGCTGCATACTGTTGATAAGATGCAGGAAAACAGCGTCACACTGGGATAACCTTTCTTACCTCTTCTTCACGTTCATTCTTGAAACACAGACATGCCGCTCTCTTCTTGAAACCGTCGCCATCGTATGTCCTGGTCTGGTTTGGTTTGAGCTTCATCATTGATTTGGAAATGTGCCTCCTTGAGTAAGAACCGGCAAAAAAAAAGCAAAATAAAAGAAGAAAAAAAGGTGGAGGGGGTGTCCAATTAGTCAACAGCACAGCCGCCGCATTGTACTGCTCTATGCACCCGATGGGCAGATCAGGAACGGAGGATGTATGAAAGATCTCGTCAGACAATCCTGGATTTAAGCTTGTCCTTGTGAAAATAAGCACAAATCAGAGCCTCTGATGTGTAAGTCAAGCCACCAGATGCTACCTGCGATCTCCAGTCGGCAGTATGTGCGCGCAGTCCCGCAGGTTGAGAGCTTATGTAGAGTGCAGCCTACACAGCACAGCCCTCCTCTGGATCCATTTGCGTATGGCCGCTGACTCAGTACAATGAACAAGCAGCCCGGAGTTTCGGAAATACAGATCACTCCTCTGAGGAGGGGATGAGCTAATTGGATGGGTTTGTGTAAAGTGGGCGGGGCTAGGCGTCTACTAAAACATAGATTGATACGTAAGTTTATTATTTTGTTTCCAGTAGTACAAGAGGGAGCTTTTTTTCAAACATCCAGTGTGTGTTTCCTGATGAGAATTTTAGCAGGTCCTGGGGATCATTTTGTTGCAGTGAAAAAGAAAAAAAATCATGCTGATTAGGACTGCCCCATATCCTAATCCAACAAAAACAAATCTTGACCAGGCACAGGTATATCTACATATTTTCTGGCACCTTCCACAGACGTTTCGTTTTTTTCTTTCTTAAAGCCCAACACAGACACAAATGCAGATGACATGACCTCAGTGTCCGCAGTAGCTACAGCCTTGATGTTGAGAACCGAGGAGGAAGTAAAAGTACTGTTTAAAATCTAACTGAATTAATGGATGACTTGTCCTTGACAGAATCTAATTCTAATAAAGTGAAATGACATTTTTGATCTTTTGAAGTATGATATTTTGATAGAGGACATTACTGATTTCTGGCCTTTACATTTTCCTGGTATTGTTCACTGACTCACTGATTTCTGATCTGGGATATAAAAGACAGACTGAAAGTTTAAAAGACCATCTTTTAAGGAAACACTCAAATTGTGAAATCCCAGTTTTAAATCCCCCAGATATGTGCTAATCATATTAGTACCAGACCCACCAGACCTGGAGCTCTCCTTGAATTATCATGGCTCGGCTGAGCAATACCACCTCTCAGATCCCACAAAGAGAATGGATTTACAAAGTATTTTCCATGATATAGTCAGCTGTGTCAGTTTTATTGAATTGGATTTTATGGGTTTCCTTTTACAGGTTCCACCTTTTGTACAGCCACATGTAAGAAGTAGACATTCTGTCTACTTCTATGTGCCTTACACGGTCTTCTTGCTGTAGTAAGTTGTTTTTCTAGTTCAAACGAACCAGCTGCTTAAAAACCTCTTAGATTTCTGCTTTTTGACAAAAGTGTGCACACGATCACGTACAACACATTCTGTCCAGTGTTGGGAAATCAGTGAGATACTCCCTGCTTTCACTGACTTTATGTCATTACAGAGGTCATATTCTGAGTGTGTTATTCCCACTCAGCAGGAAAACAAACATGTAGGTATCAGAAGTATTTTTCTGAGTTACTTCTGAAAACTAGAATTAGGCATCTTGATGTTGCAACTGTTTTTTTGTCAGAGGTTGTGACAGCAAACTCCTGACCTGTTCTTCCTGGGAAGACTATCAAATAGCAGTTGCTCTCGTGTACCTGTGGGAAGTGCTAAGTTATCAGCTAAGTAAATGTAGTCATTGTTTAAATGATGTCTTTTAAACTCACTCCAGATAATCACATTGCAGTCTAATGGTGACAGAGTAGAGCACGTGTGCTGATGGCACACATTAACTGAGGGGGAGCCTGGCCTCGGTTTACCTTTGACCTGCAGGCCAGCATGCTGTACGCCTGCAAATAACAACATCAAAAGCAAAGTCAGCTCCGGAAGATAAAAATCCATAAATTAATGAAATTGATCAAAGGGGAACCGGCACTGTGATATCCGACTTGTTTGTGAAGATTTGTGGAGATAGTCAAGTGAATCTTTATTCTGTCTTTAAAGTTTCAGGAGATAAATGCTGGCAAAATGAAATTGTGTATCATAGATCCCTTTGACTCTCAGTTTTCTGGCAGTTAGGCCTTTGTGTAGTCATTAGGTCAAATACTTTGGCATTAAAGGAAATGCTACTTTAGCTTTCACGTGGCTTGCCATTCAAGATTTCCTTCACTCCTGTACTTTCCCTCAAGATGTAACTTATGGATGCAATGCCAAAACATTGGCCTCATACATTCTTGTATCCCTCAGGTTGCACTTTATTTGTTAGAAACAGTTGGAGAAGGCTTAAGTTCTGCATCCACTAAGATTGCAAACAGACTAAATACTACTTCTGATGAACACTTTTATATTTAGCTTTTTAGGTTTGTCCATGGACGTCCTGATGTAGAATGATGTAGTAGAACGTGAGGCAGAGCCCTGAGATATCAGACCTCCAGACTGGATTCAGGAGACATACACTCTCTCTACTTCTGCACTCACATATTTTCACTTCCCATGTGTTTATAAACTACTACTGCATCACATTAAGATGTACCTCCTCTCTCTTATAATGTGTGTCAGAGGGTTCTTCCTGTTAAAAGTGAGTTCTTTCTTCTCACTGTTGTCCAGCGCTCTCCTCGATTTTTGGGGTTTTCTCTCAAATATGGTATGGCCTTAACCTTACAATATACAATCCCAATTTTTTTTTAAAGTTTAAATGCTGTATGAAAGTGTCAATAAAATCTCTTAAACTCATATTCTATTCACAACAAAAGATAGGAAGATAACAAATCTATACACTGAGAAAATGTAATGTAATGCTCAACTTTCCTGGCAGGCAGGTTAGTTCAGCACACAGACTCTTCTACTAAGCAGTGCTGTTGAAATACAGGGATAGACACAGTGTGCTGTTTAATATTGTCTTTCTGAAATATACAAGGTCTTCCCTCAACAAGATGTCGCTGGAAGGGAATATATGTTGCTCTAATACTTGCGCACACCTTTCAGCATTGATGGTGCCTTTCCAGATTTGTAAGCTGCATCCTCCATAGACAATAATGCACCCCCTTTTCATTGGAGATGAAGGTCTTTGAATTGAATGCTTAAAACGAGCCAAATGGTCCTTCTCTGGAGGATGTGGCATCCATGTTTTCCAAAAAATGTCCAATTTCAAATTATCTGACCACAGAACAATTTTCCTCTTTAACTCAGTCCATTCTAAACTAGCTTTGGCCCACAGAAGTTTCTGAATCATGCTCACATGTGGCTTCTTCTTTGCATGACGGAGTTCCAATCTGCACATGTGGATAGCACGGCATCGTATTATGTACTTTAGATAATGAGATATTCAAAGTCGTTACAATTTTGTTCACAGTCTTCAGTGACCTTTGTCAAGAATCTCCGCCTGTCTAAGATGCTCTTTTTTGATACCCAGTCATGTTTCTGAGCTGTTTCAAATGAACCTAATTAGCTGCAAAATGTTCCTTCAGCTGTTTTGTTTTAGTACCACTTGCTTTTATAGCCTTTTGTTGCTCCAGCTTAACTTTCTTGAAACATGTTGCTGCCATCAAATTCAAAATGAGCTAATATTTTTCATGACATAGTCAAATGTTTCAGGTTGAATAGTTAATATGTTTTCTGTGTTCTATTGTGAATCATTGCATTATATTTATATTTTTGACTTTTTGGAGGGAGTAAAGCAACTTGAGGTGATAGTTGGGAAATGGTGCAGCATAACCACTATTCAGTTTCTTTCAGTTTGCTGATTTACTAAAAATCATTGGGGTGTAGTTTTGAGATTGTGCAGAACTAACTGATGAGCTCACTAGTGTCATGAGACTGATACTCAGTGAAACAGGCTAATCGTGATGATCCCAGTGACCCCTTTTCACACGTTTTCCCCCATGAAATTGGGAGGGGTGTGGGGACAGAGAACTCTTGACTCCCCCTTCCATTTAACCTAGAAACTTCTGTGTGAAAAAAAAACAGGTAAACCCCAGTCATATTATCATTCAAATCACTGTTGTCATCAGTTGCTTCAGATGTAAATACAGCATCAAATGCAGGTCATCGTGTTACTGCAAGTCAGACAGCATCATCATCTTGTTTTAGCAATGGTTTCCTGGCTTTGCACTGATTTGATCTCCTAGACCATAATTGCAGAGCAATTCCAACATAACCTATAAATAATTTAAAAGATAATCATTTATTTGCAATATGCTATTTAAAGTAATGGATACAAAGGGGAAAAGCATTGTAGGGAGTGTGTATATTTCTTCAAATAGTCCAGATAACTGCATATCCAATGGCTTAAGTGGTCATCTTAAGTTTACAAATGACTACAGAGTTTCTGCAGGTTGTCATTTGTATCCATACCATCAGGGTAAAGGAGACGTGCTAGAAAATTTATGTATTTATAGACTCTTGATGTCATTTGCATGATATATTATAAGTGATTTATAATGGGCTAAAATTAGAAACAGACCAGCTGAACCAAATCTTGCTCCTTAATATAACAACAGATGTTATCATCCTGATGGCATCGGTGGAAAATAAATCTTTCTGTCATCATATACTTAAAGTGGTTTATCATCGCCGTCTTGCATAGCAAAGGAGGGTAATTAAGAGGTCCCCATTTAGCCGAGGTGTGAGGGGAATATACGGATCCGGTTTCTTCTGGCTCATGCTGAGACAGATGGATGGACACAGAACTGACTGTCTTCACTTTATCAGGAGAGTCTGCCACAACATGCACACATGGATACACGTGTCACTTTTTTTAATACAAAGAAATAGTGTATACATGTTGCTACATCTATAGATGCACACACATACACCCACGCTCTCACACACGGAGTCCAATCTGCCTCTTCATTTGCCTGTGATCCGCTAAGTGTTAGCAGCCAACTGTGATTATGCCTATAAAATCCTGAGCTGATTAGCTCACCCATAAGTCTCTTCTTTGACCTCAGCGCTGAGCCTTCAGTCATGAGCCATGTGAGGGACTGGCTACTGGCCAGATAGCACAATCCTGAAAGGATCGCTGATATAAAAGATGGAGATGTCCTCATCCAGATAAAGACAATGAGACATCATTTATCCCTTTCCTAAGTTTAGCTCATGGATAATTGTCATGCTGCAGCTATCAGGATAATTTTAGGTCCAGTCATCTGTTTTCCCATAAGGTCTCCATTATCGAACACTTAAATGAGTTTTTTACAACACATCCTTCCCTGAAATACAGTCATTATTACAAGCAAATATGCAACAATAGTTTTCAGGTACTGAGCGTGAAGTGAACGTTTAATGAGATGAAACTCATCTGATAAACTCCTGCTGGCTGGCCAAGGCTGACAAGA